TCTTTTGTTTTTAAACGTACTCCTGCTTCAGCTGTGAGACAACTAATTTTCAGCTTGGGTCGCCAAAAAAAGCAATACAAAAGAAAATGATGCCACACAGTGCCACTGTTCTGCTTCTACTTTTAGCCAATGTAAAAAGTGAAGTGAAAGCATATTGATAGGCTGCACATCAGCCTCGTTGGGCAGCTGTAAATCTGGTCAGCTATAAGACTATTGAACCTTAAACCTTAAGGTGCAACGTTGTGATGATGTATTAGCTCTGTGTACTCACTCGGTAAACAGCAGTCTTGTACTTTTAAAGTCCTATCATCTGTAGTACAGCACGTGGACTGTAAAATATTTAAAGTTTTAAAGCCGAACCCACACTTTCCTCAGGACAAACTAAAAGGAATACAACAGTTATTGGTGGGTTGCTGACGCAGTCAATCAAATCGCTCCACTTACCTTTTTCTACAACATAGAAGGTTGAATGAAAATATTCTTTTTAAATATAGAAAATACTTCACGCTGAGATTTTAGGGGCTTTAAAACAAATGTAAGCCATACATAATTTTAACTTAAATTTGTTTAAAAAAAATATTTAAACAGGATCTTTTTAAATTAGCTATCAAAAAAAAATACATTCTGAGTTGGACTTTTTACAGGTTAAAAATAAGCCTGGCAGTGCCCTCTGGTGGACAGAGTGTGACTGGCGTTGACTATGATCTCTTCTTTGGCATTTCTTGTCATTTTTTTCAAACCTGCAGTGACACTGCTGATATTAGCCTTAGTGGATTTTTAAGGGTCATGTTTAGGAATAAGAAAAGATTCCAATATTGATATACTGGTCAATATTTGTTTAATATAAATATACACATATAAATTCTTTATGTTAGTTACTTTAAAAAGGGACAATAACGGGTGTCGTTTTTTGTTTTGCTTCGCTTTAATTATCCAGCAATGTATTTCTCAAACTAGTTTCTACTCTGCTACATGTACTGGGAGTATTGTATGGAATGGATGTTGGAGCACACTCTCCTGCAAAAACTCTAAATTAAATTTCTGCATCGGTATTTGGTAAAAAAAAAATTTGGGGGAAGATATACAGCAATCAGCCACCTGCAGCAGGTCAAGCTCTAGCTAATCTAAGTAAGCAGTGATAGGCTAGCAATGACATCCACCGAAAGGTATGGGTAGGAATGAAGTCGAAGGGACCTGTGGAAACTCATCTTTTTGTATTCATTATTGTACTCGGCATTTGGTGCAAACTGCAAACTCTGATAGGCCGATAATGACTGTAAACTTCAGCGAGCCCGCTCTAACTAATATTAGGCTATCTAATTAAGTTTGCGCTAAAACCAGCCAGGTTATGGGCAAACCCTGGTTTTTGGAGCTTTTTTTCTTTGTGTTTCTTTCCCCAATCACCTTATTTTGCAGCCACCAATGGGATAAGAGTTTATCATCAAATCCAATTTTGTTATTTACTTTTCTTTTCAGCATGAAGGTTATTTGCCCTGTCGCCGGTTGCATTCATTACATTATTTCTACCTTCAGTGTACCTGCTGTAACAACACCAAAACAGCTCTATAATACCTGCAAGTGTTAACACTGCAGTTATTATTTTGTCAAAACATTTAGAATAGAAAGTACTGTAACCCACACAGCTGTATTAATCCCCTGTTCCTTTCCAAATGCAAAAATATAGGCAGTTTTGTTCCTTGCCCTTATATGAAAATATTTTTTTCTCCAGTTGGGCATCTTATTTCTTTTCAACGTACATATTTACAAGGTCACTCCTGAAAAAAAAAATGGTGAAAACCAGTAGTTTTTCCTGCCTCCAGCGCTTATAGCTTATCTGTTTATAATTTCCTGAGCAACGATGGACTGCTAAGAGGTGTCTCGGGATATCCAGCCACTTTCTGTGAGGAAGGTGAGAATGCGCTTCTTAAGAACCTTATCCAGGTAGCTGGGCATTCGGCTCTTGGCGGGAATGCCCTGCCTTTTCTGCAGGTGATCTTTGATGATGATGGTTTTGACAGTCAGGTAGCGTGCCGGGCTGAGGTTGAGAGAGTTGCACAGCACCTTCTCCCTGTCTGACAGCAGCTCGAAGCCTGTCAGATTCTCAATGGCAGCAAACTCACCATCTTTGCCCTCTTCTTTGATCCCACCTCCAACCCCTAGTCCTCCAGCAACGCCTCCTCCTCCTCCAGCTCCACCCCCGAGCCCCATCCCTGAACCAAGCCCTCCTCCTCCCGAGCTGCCCCGCTTTGAGGTGACCACACTTTTGTTCTCCTTGCGTTTCTCCCGTTTGTGGCGTGCTGCTTCGTATTCCGCTGACTCCTCCAGGCGTGTGATGCCGTTTCGGCGGTAGCGCTGCAGCTCGCGCACCTTGGCCCTCAGCACTCGCTCTTTATGCATATTCTCAAAGAACTCTTCAAACTCCCGATGGGCCATGAACTGGCAAAGCGCTCGCAGCCTCACCCGCTGCTCCTTCTCTTCCTTGGTGATTTTTCTTTTAGGTGTACTTGGGAGAGGACCTGCTCCCGATGCCGTCATGGATCCTGATCCGACTGCACCACCACCAGCCCCTGTCCCACTCACGCCAGCTGCACTTCCTACGACTCCCAACATCCCTGTTTTGTCCTTCTCCTTGTCCTTCTTGTCTCGGCCCAAAAATGAAGGCACCAGGTTGTAGTCACGAGCGATGTTCTTACGCCGCTGGCGTTCTCTGAGCTTACGCACATACATGTCCACATGGGCGCGCTTCATTTCAATTTCCACGTCCTCATCATCGTAGTTGACACACAGTCCGCTGATGAGCTTCTCCGCGTCCTGGTCATACTCAATCTCATAGTCATCACGTAGTGGCATGTAGCCCAGCTGCTGTTGCTCCACCAAGCTGATATCCAGCGGAGGGAGCGGAGTGGTCAGGCTGGGCGACAAGGGCCCTCCGCTCGGGCAGGTGTGATCGGTCACCCGGTTTGGAATACTGTCAGGGATACAGGCCTTCCCCAGGTTTCCATGGATGTACATGGTGACATAATGTTCCATGACTTCCTGAGGAGTCCGGGATGCTCCAACATGATCAGCCATGTCCTCCTGAAAGGTCACAAAAAGGAAGTTGTTACTAAGAGGACACCCACACCATTGTATTTTTCTATGTTATACTAGAAGATGTAAAAGTGATGCTCAAACAATCTGTTTAGCTGTTCAAGAGAAAATGGTTTAGAATTCTCATCATTGATATTTAAATATTCATATTTTCTGCTTTTCAATTTTGGGTTGTTTTTAAAATTAAACAAGTAAACTGTAGACATCACCATGAAATATTTGAAAATGTACATTTTCTGATGCATTATAGGGGTGCATAATTTTATCTAAAAACTTCCAAGTAAGTCAAACTTAATATAATTTATTTTACACAGACAAATATTCTAATATGCTACACATAAGCCATATGCACTTTGTAATTGACTGTAAATGGGGTTTGGAGGTGAAGTGTAACTGGTCCACATATACTTAAGAGGAGTCTGTACATTAACAGATGTCTGAGCATTTTTCTGACCGTTTGACATGCAAAAATTTATTTTATACTTGAGTAAATTAAACATCACTTGGTGGTGGTTGGTTCGTACCACAAGATAACTCTGCATATCTGTAACATTTCCAGCAAACCTTTCGTGACACTATTCCACTCTTAAATGTTAGCCTTGGTTTTTGGGCTTCAACCCTCTCCTGACCTTGAGATGGATAAGTTGATAACAAAATAGATTGATACGCTTTTGCATTATGAAAAATGAAATTTGATTACAGTTACATTACTTTGCTTTTTGTGTTTACACAGAACTATTCTTTCTTTCCCCTTTCCTTGTCTTCTGACTTTGTTTCAGGGGGCGCTAAAGCAGATCTTCCGCCTCCATCTCACCCTCTCCCTATAGTCACACCAACCCTCTGCATACCCTCCATCCCTCCATCTCTGTGGTCTTTCTTGTGCTGTTTTCTTTTTTTTTGTGCTCTTTTTTGTTAATTGTCTTATAGAAAATAGAGTTTTGAATGCATCTCTAAGCTAAAGTAGGCACTAAAAAGCACTGTGCCTCAATGATTCGTGGGATATTATGGAAAAAATTTAACATTTGTGTATATTCCATTAGTCTGATATCAAAACAGTTGGTCTTTGGTACACATTTAATTCAGAGGTTGATACACTTTACATGTTTCTTTAATATGCTGCATTGTAACACAAGTTTCAGGTTAGGTTTCAGTTAATAAGGAGTTAATTACTACTTACTACATAACAATATATTTTTTCCTTACTTATTTGCTTCCTGTTTTGCCCCTTGTTGTTTTGTGACTCTGAGCAATACAATTATTGAGTGATAATTACGATTATTTTTCCTTTTTATACGACGTGTTGTTGACATTCCACGTTTCTTAAAGTAAATTTTAACACTATTCTCAAATCTATTTTATTCAGGCTTTTCTTCTGTTTATATCGAAAATTATGTACAACGATAACAACGAAAATAAGAAGAAAAAAATCATTGTTATCTCAAAGGTCATTAGCGTTATTCTTATATTACCGCTACAAGCCTACTGCTCTTCTTATTTTTTCTTTCCAAGCACTAGACACAACGAAACTCCTATGAGTTTGTATAGAAAGCTCTAAAGGTCAGAAAAATAACTTAAAAAGTGATGTACCCAGTTTCCAAATCCATACTGCTCGATAGCATCGAGTAGCGACTGCTCTTCCCTGCTGGTCCACCCTCCTTCTGCCTCTGTACCCCAGAGAGAGAACCGACCGCCGTCGACCTGCTGGTAGCCGTGCCATCTCCGGTGATTACCGATTTCAGCGCCCGCTGAGAAGCACTCTGGGCACAGCTCGATATCAGGGCACTCGGTGCAGCGAAGCCGCAGGTTTGTAACATCTGCAAGGCAGTTAACGCAGTACTTCTTCCCCAAGTCGGCCATCTTGCCTGGCGTCTGCTTCTTGTTGTTGGAGGCAAACCTTCGCGCCTGCGTACAGCGAGCCTCGCAGCGCGAGCTACTCACATCCTGCTTATAAATATTAATGAGAATGGGTCAGGGCTCCTGTGATTGGCCCTTCTGCTTAGTTTCCAGGACAACCGAAACAAAACGAACAGTTTCATTGACCACAGAACTGCACGAGCCTTACCTCTGTATACAAAGTAAATATTATTAAAAATGGACAAAGAGGCGGGAGAGGGAGAAAATAAGGTAAGAATTCACAGTGACAGAGACACAGAGGAGTATTTTATTTCTGTTAGTGGGGATAAAAATGAAGCTGTCTCAGCTGAAATGCCCACATCAGACCCTGAAGAAAAGCACTGTGACAGCGGGAAAGTCACAGAAGAGTTCTCTGCTGAAGAGGCCGCCACTTTTGAACCAGAAGCCAAAAGTGAAGATGAGCTCTGCACTGAGTTTGATGTGATGATTAAAGTCAAAGAACAGCCACTGTGCCACAAAGAAAGTGTGGTTTCTGAGATGAACAGCACTTACCACGATGACGCTCTGAAGCTACATCCTGAGACTCAGGAAACGGAGATCTCCAGCCCTCTACACCACGAAGATGAAGAGGCTGAAAAAGAGGGAGCCACATCTGCATGTGCACAAAAACTAAACATAAAGTACAAAGAATATAGACCGCTCCTCCAGGAGGTGTCCAAGGAGCGAGATAAGGCCAGGCATAACAGCAGCCAGCTGCAGATGAAACTGGCACAATACTTCAAGAAGGCTGGGGACAGTGTCCAGCTGGAGGGCGAGAAGCCTGTGTCAGAGCAGCTGCAGGAGTACGAGAGGTACATCAACATCCTGACTGACCTGAAGCAGCAGCTCCGTGCTGAATCAGAGGCAGCCCAGCGTCAGGCAGAGGACCTGAGGCTACAGTCCCAGGAGCAGCTGGGCAAGGTTGGTGTTGTTTTAAGGGATTGTGTTTTTTACATTAAAGCACAGTTTTACATCCCATATTCACATCTGCAGTAGCACAATAACAATTAAACTTCCAGTCTATTAAAGCTTCAGTCTCTCTCGGTATCTGGTAGGTCATAGATGATGTGATTTATTGTTGTTTGGTTTAACTCCAGAGTTCATAAAAACTGAAAGAAATCAGATGGGTCTGATTTCATTAAAAATTCTGTCTCTGTTTTTTTATGCTTTCAGACAGAATCCTTTTCGACTACTATTCAACAGGTCAAGTGTCGTTTACTAATCAGTAGTTGTTTCACACTTCATTGTTCCCCACTCAATCTTTATCTGCATCCCACTTCTGTTACCAGTGTTGGGCCTGGAGGGGGCAAATACTGGCTATAATTTAGTGGAAATTTACTGAAAGCCCCAATCAGAACCTTTAGATACATCTGCATCTAAAGGACAAAGGTCACTCGTTCAAGGATGCTAATGTTTACATTTTGGTTCTAAAGAGGAGTGAAAGAAATCATCTGTGTCCAAATGTTATTAACGACCCTCTTTGAACAGAGGAGGTGGCTTACGACACCAACTGTCTGCCCTCTATAATCCATTTTTGAGATACCTTCCCAAGCGCCACATGATAGTTTGAGGCAATATCTCCCAGTGGTTTAATCCAAAACCTCTGCAGATATCACACACACACGTTTTCACACCTTAGCTCATGTGGTGAGCCACATAATCAAGGGCTTAAATACTTCTGACTCTCCATCTTTGATCTTAGAACTCAAGAAGCTTATCGAATCAGAGCTGAATCATCTTCAACAAACTTAAAGAAGTCCAGTCGCTTTTTTGGTCGCAAGCACTTGACAGTTGGAAAGAAACACACTCCGCCCTAAAACGGGTTTTATAACTTCTGCCTTCGTGATTCTACTGGTGTTGCTGTGGCATAACTTTTGTCATCGGACAGGACGCACAGGTTTGCCTGCTTGCCCTAAACTGACCATAACCTTGACTCCGAATCTTAACCCTTAAACAAGTCAGAAGGATTGTAAAAAACTGAAACCTTTAACCTTTCATCAATCAGATGGTCTAAAAATTGCTAAGACTTTAATCACTCACTCCTGTTGCTTGTAAGTTGGATTTTCCAGAAAGCTGGATTCCACATTCTGTCTGTTCTGCAAAGACACATTTTCAACAGGCACATTTAGGTCCACTTTTAAAAACAACAACAAAGTGATATAAAGTGTTTATGTGACTAAATACATTGTAGCTTTAAAAGAAAAAGAAAACAACTTTAGTTAACTGAAGAAAGCCACAGTTTCTGTCAGGAACTGGAGTTTCATTTTACACTTTAAATGTAAATCCTAAAAAAAAATGCTGATGCTGATTGGCATGGAGGCATTATTTTACATGTCTTTGAACCTACTTTAGGCTCCATCACTGACTCGATGACTTGTTTAACAGCTTCACACTTCTTTGTTTGGACACCAAACCCACAACACCTTTTAGGAAGAAACATGTTATGTAAATTATGATTCACAGTCTACACCATAAGGCCTCTTCTTACAGGCCAAACAGAACAATAGCTGCACTTATTACAGTCCTGAGAGATCAAAGTCAAGCTACAAGTAAAAAGAGAAATTCTGCGATACAGTAATGTCCAGTGTTCCTCAACTGACTGAAGAGTTATCAATAAAACATTTATTTTCCATGAGATTAGATTTGCTACAACTTTACTGCCATTGTTGAGAGTAGATGTGCAGAGAAAGCTGCACACAGTTACAGTGAGTCTTCCTGAAATCTTCAGTCATTCCTCAGCCTGTATTTAAAAAGGAGCCTAAATTACAACAACAGAGGATTAATTAAACCGATGATCTTTTGTCACCTGAAATTGATGCACTTAAGGTACAAGAAAGAAGAGACAAAAACATTTTCAGTTGCTCACAAATATGAGCACAGTTCTGCCCCCGTTCTTGCTGTTCACAGTAACACCCACTGCAATGTATCTGCAAGAGAGGCGGACAAACGAGGAAAAGTGATTCTGTCTTCACAGGGGCACACTTATCTTTTCTTGAGACTGTTTTTAATGTAGCCTATACAGGCTCCGGTTCATTAGTGTTGTCCTTAATTTTAAATATGAATTCAACGTTAAAAGCACAAACAAAAAAAAGTAGATTTTAAAATCACAGTTTTGATTTGGCAAAATTTTCCAGTTTCCAGTCATTGTGGATCAAAATTATTGAAAGACTTACAACCCTAATTAAGTTGATAACACTTACAATTGTGTTATTTTTGTAATTGTGTGTGTTGGAGAATTCTGTCCACAACAAAAATACAACTTTAGTGGAATGAGTACAGTGCTCTGTAAGGGCTAAGGTGATATATTTCAGTTCAGCAGTCCGATTAGCTGCATTTGAACCTAAAATCCATCTATTTGTGTTTGTTGGCTTCAATTTCACTTCAAACATGGGTGAACTAGACACACAGACGTTAGCACAGTACATGCATGAAACAGTAAATCATTTTTTTTGTATTCATTTTCTTATCATTATTTTTGCATGTTTAGAAAAAGGGAAAAGCTTTTATATGATACCTCAGTCTCTGCAGGGAAAATGGGCACAAGTGAGCCACACATGCACACTTGCAGGGAAGCTGGATGGATGTGCAGTGCATACTGAACTGTGCAGACACAGTGGAAGCTGTGGAAGATGCACAAAGACCGTTTGTTAAATATAACCTGAAACTAAGTAGAAATCTGCTGTCATTTTAATAAAAAATACACTGAAAATACAGTGACTGTACATATAGCCCTGTTATTAAAATTATTTAGCAAACTGTTAATGCACTCAAAAACTGTCTCATCATCATCCTCAGGTGGAAGATGAATGGCGAGCACTGATGGCACTGAAACAGGATACAGCTGTGAAGATGCTAAGCAGACGCCTGGGTAAAGAAGCAGCTCGGGCCAAAGTGGAGGCGTCTCTGCGAGCTGAACAGCTTCGGCAGGATGAGCTGATCAAACTGCGGCTGAAGCACATCAAGTTGAATATGAAGATTTGCAAGCTGGAGGCAGAGCTCCGCCATGGGGAGGAACATGACAGGGACCCCATACAGATCCAGTTTGAGCAGCTGCAGGCTGAGAAGCTAGAGCAGAAAAAACAAGCCGAAAAGCAGCACGAGGGATCAGTAAAGCTGCAGAAGAAGATCAGCAGTAGCTTGGAGGTATGCTGACAAATCCATGGATACAGATTGCTTCTAATTTCTTTCATTATGAGCAATAGCAGTGATATTTGTTGTCTCTCTTGTATCAGTGCCTGTCACATATAAAGGAGAAGCTGCGCTGGTGCCAGATGGAGGTCAAGGTGAAGAGAGAGCAACTGACTGAGGTGGAGGCCGTGGTGGCTGGGAAGAGGGACCACCTAACCAGGGTCAAGCAAGAAAACAGTCGCCTGCACAGACAAAACCTGAGGTTGAAGGAGCAGCGTGGGCTGCTGGGCAACAGGGTCCTGCTGCAGGACTTTGAGGATACTGTGAATGCCTCTGACCAACTGGAGGAACAACTAGAGCATCTGAAGTGCCGGCAAGCCGAGATCCTCTTCAGCTGTGGCGAGTGGAAGAGTCAATAATGACTAAAACTTTATCTCAGGTTTCAAAAAGCTATGAAAAAAATGAGAAAAGAACACATGTAGCTGACAAGGAGCTACCAGGAATGAGAACGAGCACTAGCCCTTAGAGTTTGTTTCAGTGTAGAGTCTCACTGTAAACTAAGCCTGCGTGCAGTAAAACTTGGAAAACCATAATCTGGATAAGAAGTCATGGACGGCATCCTCTCAAAAAAGATTATCATCTTAGATAAGGTGACTCAGACATGTTGAATGCAATCTTAAAAACATTGATAGAAATAAAGATACATTTTTGTGCAGTTTTTGTATTTTAATATGAAAATTTACTTTTTTTTTTACCAGAAGGTTTTAGTGTATTTGTCCTGTAGTAAAAAGAAAAATAATTTAATTTAATTTTACAAAGAAAACGTAGTAGCGGTTAATACTGTTACCTCACAACTAGAAGGTTGTATATTTATAGTTCATGGCTGGCTTCAGCTTCTGTGTGAGAATAATTGGTGATTTTGAATTGCCTGTAGGTGAAGATGTGAGAGCGACTGGTTGTCTGTCTTCTCTGCCACATGTGGAACGGGCTCTGCTGAATCAACGTTTCATACTTCTTAAATGTTACCTTGACATCTTTGATAGACTTTCTAGCCAGAAAGTTTGTGTTCAGCAATATTTAATCCAACTATTTATGGATTAAAAAGACAAAAAGACTTTGACAGCAATTGTATGAAATCCATAAATTTTATACATATATATATATATATATATATATGTATATATATATTAATATATATAAAAATATATATATAATATATATACATATATATATATATATAATAAATATATATATATATATATACATTATACACATATATATATACATACACATATATATATACACACACACATACATATATATGTATAAACCCAGAAGCTCTAAGGTATTTATAAATCAGTCTCTAACACTGCAAGTTTACACTTAATGTAAAAGAGCTAGCGTCACAGCAAAAGAGTTACATGATGCTGATAGGACACTGACTGTTTTTTTAACTTCAGGCACAGAACCTTCTTTGGTTCAGTCTTTTTTTTAAGACAGAATCATCCTACTGAATGCACATCTCTATAGGGCAAACCTTAAAACTGTAACCTAACACAAAATACATTTCAGTGACGACCACATTTATTTAATTCCATATACATGTAAAAACCATCAGCACATATCTCCACCGTTTCTGCATACATTGAGAATCTGAAACATGGAAAACAGCACCAAGACCCAGTGCAGAAAAGAGTAGGCTTCACAGATAAGACAATGATTAAATCAGACACAGTATAAACCGAGGACCTGGAGTCGAAGTGGATTGCTAGGTGGCATGCAGGTGCACGGCAACTGTGGGCAGGCTAAAGCAGCTTGAATAACACACCCTATAGACAACTGCATAGAGACATCAGTTGTTGTGTGAATGGCAGCTTATAACAACCAATGTCTTTTAGTTTTGAAAAAGTGTATACACATCATACACATGCTGTAGTGTAGTGATGAATATATCATGGCTATCCTCCTGGCACTTAACAGCGTACACTATATTACAGGTACAGAGTAATATAGTACTGTGACTGTTTGTGCCGGGGCACCTCATCCTTGTGAAAGGTACAGAGACATTTAGAGAAAATGTGTCTTAGCTGTTCCAATACTCCTGACACATAAGCATCACTGAGTGTTTTCACTTAGGCAGCAGTTGTCCTTCTTTCTTGCATGGGCTGGAGTTTTCTTTAGGTGCCTTTCCAGCTTTGACACATGTCCAGCTGGGATAGCCTCCATTATCATTAATGGAGCTCCAGTGGAGAGCGTGCAGTCCTTCAAGTATCTCGGTGTCAACATCTCCTCAGACCTGACATGGTCTGCCCACATTCAGGTCCAGACCAAAAAGCCTAGGCAGTGCCTGTACAACCTACGACAACTGAGGAAGTTCAGGGTCTCTCTAGTGATCCTCAGGACTTTCTGTGGAGAGCATTCTCACACAAAACATCACATCCTGGTATGGAAAAAGCTGTATCAAGGATAAAAAGCTCTTCAGAGAGTGATCCGTACGGCAGAACACTGTCCCAGGACTGCTCTCCCTTCCCTACAGGACATTTACCTCAAGAGATGCTGGACTAGAGCAACTCAGATTTTGAAGGACCCGTCCCATCTGTTGCTGGGATGGGACGGGTCCCCCCGCCCCCATTATCCTTAAGTGACTGAGGCAGGACTCATTACCACATTCTCATATCATCCTGATCCTTCTGGCCTCGCTATAGCACATGACATTTTAACACCCTTCCCACACAATGTGCACAAGATGTAATTTTCCATATTGTTTTATTTTATTTTATTTCTATTTATATAATGTACATAACTCACCCACTTGCAACACATAATGTCCTCTTTGTATATGCTCATTCACTGTATATAAAGTTCTGTCTTTCTCTTTTTTTCGTTTCACAGTCGAGGAGTGTATCAGGTCACATTTCACTGTGTGTTATACCTGTATAGCCATGCACGTGACAAATAAAGAATCTTGAATCACATTTACTCTGGGCCTTCTTGATGTGATGTTCTTCTGCTTCCCTGGCCACTGTGTCTGTAGGGATGGTGTTCACTCTATGTTGCAGCGTCCTGGTGACACCCAGTATATGCTTCAGTGGATGAAGAGAGTCAAACATTAAATCCTGATCTGTATGCGTAGGTTTACGGTACACATCAACTTTTAAATGTCCCAGATTACTGATGAAAATCTCACAATCTGAGAAGGCTAACCTGTCATGTGTTGGTCCACTGAATTAATGTGATCATTGAATTGTGATATGTGGAATCGTTTCTCCCACTGAAAATGCTACACCCAGATGAACGGAATCAACCTTTTAGGAGTGTGGATAAAAGTTTGTTAGGTTGCCAGCTGTGCCACGTTTTGATCTAGTTGCCAAACCTGGAACACAACCTCACAAGTTCTTTTCGTTTATCAGAATAAACAAAGACATATTTTTAGCATTTTATAACTACTCCAAAAAACCTTACATAATCTTTTAAATGTAATGCAAATGACAGTATTTTCTGTTCATCAGAACATTTTGTCTCATCAAAATATTATTTGTCAGAAAAATGAAATAAATCCAATGAGTGAAATGGTCTAAAAATTATTTTAGACCATTTTAAATTCATCCATTTGCTTCAGCTTATCCTTTTCAGGGTTGCGGGGGGCACTGGAGCCTATCCCAGCTATCTTAGGGCAAGAGGCAGGGTACACCCTGGACAGGTTGCCAGTCTGTCGCAGGGCTACCACACAGAGACAAACAACCATCCGTACTCACATTCACTCATGGATTCACACTTATGGGCAATTTAAGATTTTTCAATTGATATCCCTCACTGCAGTCTTGACGGAGGAGCCTACCTGACACAACAACTGCATGTCTTTGGACGGTGGGAGGAAGCCGGAGTACCCGGAGAGAACCCACACAAACATGGGGAGAACATGCAAACTCCACACAGAAAGATCCTGGCTTGATAGTGGAATTGAACTCAGGACCTTCTTGCAGGTAACTGTGCTACCCCATTTTAAATCACACTAAAATACTATTAGTGTATTTGAGTGCACTGCTGATGAGGGGTCGTTGACCCACTATTAATCATGTGCTTCATAACATGAGCCAAGGTGTGAAAAAGTGGATACAAATTAGGACCTGTGGGATCTGCACCCTCAATCTATTGCATGCGCCGGATGCGCGGATCAGTGAATGCCAGAACTGGATTGTGGCTGGAAGACACAGCCCATGGACACATACTGTGGCTACGTCTGATACCCATCACCGGACCTGAAGTGCCCCATCACCTCCGTCATCAAAAACAAGTCAGAGTTATGTCCACTTCCTTACAGGACCAGCACTGTGACAGCAAATCAACTCTCCACATCCACTGCCTGCAGTTCTATCCCTGCACTATCCCACTCCCCAATCACCGTGTGCTAGCTGACTCACTATCAGGCGCTCATGTAACACAGCACTGCCAGTACGTGTTGTGCGTCAGCTGAGCCTATTAGCGCTGCATTAGCTAGGCAGACGTCCAACTCTCTGGCATGATAAGACTGTACACTCCAGGACATGACGGCGTTGACAGCTTAACGCAATCTGCAGTGATTCCTCTCACCCTGCGACACAGTCTTTGACACTGCTCCCTAGGCTAGAGGCTGGTCACGCACCAGTCGCATAAACAGTTCCTGCTGTTACAGAACATAAACATACTGCCTACACTGCCTCGCTGTGTCTGCACTTTGCGAATAGTATTGGGCACGACTCACCATCTGCCATCACTGTTATACTTTACTCACACTGGCGTGCAGCTCGTATAATCCACTACCTTCTCATTATACTGACTACATGCTGATGACTCTCCCACATGAGTCTCATCTTGCGTCTACACCAAATCTATAAAAACTGTAAACCACGTGTTCAAGTGAATCGCTCCCAAAGAAATCCAATAACACGTACGCCGGGCCAAACAGACCAAATAAAAACCCGAGTTAAGCGGGCCCAATGCAGCTTGCATATTGCCTAGGATCGCCAACGCAAAGAACGGGTCCACTTGCTTTCTTCTCAGGATAACTATTGTGAGATTATATTATTTAAGGCCCTCTGGGACCAATTACTGAGTGGAAACAACTTACTCGGAAGGAATCGATATCAGGCCATCCCTCACTCAATATATCTTCTACTAGACTCTAACTATTCTCCCCATGTATAGTTTCATTATATCATACATATCTTTTCCTTCTCATAGACTAATATGTCACTAACACCGCTAGCAATTTGCCTAATGTTGTAAACGCTCAATCATCGGCAATAAAACCCACTTCTGATTCTATTGCTGATTCTGATTCTGATCTGTATGACCTGCATGACTGAAAGCACACGGACATCAAAAATGTGCTCACTCCAGGTGTAAAGTTGATATTATATCAGGCTCAGGAGATGTACTCGAGGCAGACCGCTCTAAATTTTCACAATTTATTTACACACAGACACCAGGTGCAGATATATACAGGTGAGGGGGTACGGGAAGAGGGTCTCCGGGGAACACAGGCACGGGAGGGGACACACGGGGCTATATACACAATCCTTCGCTGATGCTCAGGTTAGCTCGGACTCGGCTTTAGCTCACCAAACAGCGGTCCTCAGGCTGACGAGAAATCTGGCACAGGGAGGAAGAACAGGTAAGTTGCGGCACGAAAGAAACTCGTGGAAAAGCTCAGACTTGCAATGACACTGACGAGTGTTACAATAGACTACAGTTTTTCACACCAGCAACATTTTGTACCAAAAGTCAGAAGAGGCTCACAAATAATTTTAAATAATTTTTAGAGGATCATTTTATTGACACATCACTGTTCAGTCTCAGCACCCAGACATGTCTAAACCATTTCTCCCTACTAATCATTTACACCACCTATATGAATAAATAAGTATATATTATATACTATATAACTGTATATAATATATATATATAATATAATAAAATTATATAATATATATATATATATAATATATATATATATATATTATAATATATTATATATATATATATATATATATATATATATATATATAGTATATATATATATATAATACTAGATAATACTATAGTAAATATTAATGATTATAAATATATACATACCATATATATGGACACACAATACTATATCATCAAATCTGAAACAATGAAAACCTTCTGGTACACACTTTCTGATCATAAATTCACTGACTGAGCAGGAGCTTATTCAAGAAATGCAGCATTGCAGCTTTTCATATTTTTACATTTTATATTTCAGAACAAACTTTATAGATGAGCAGGAGAGTTTAAGGTCGGTTATGCTTCCTGGGGAGTAATGCTTCCTGAATTCTAAAGTAATTGCGGACCGAGGGCGAAGAGGGATCAACACAGATTTCACGAGACTTTTTGGTAATGAAACTGAAACAAAGAAAAAGGATTATCATTACTAAAATGTATTGTTTTATTTATTTTACAAAATAAAAACAGCTGCAAAATAAAGATGTGCCATAGACAACAATTTAGATACAGGAGACAAATACTAAGACCAATAAAAGCTTATATGATTTAAAACTCTCATGTTCCCTGAATCTACTTTATTCCTATAGCAATGTCAATCCTGAGAATGATTATGATCCACTGCACGTGTAATATAAACATATTGAAATGTAAGTTAATCTCTTAAATGAACTTACATCTGCAGTCATTGGACACCGTTGATCCGTAATGTAATATGAGCTGATTTCATCCTGCCTAATTCTTATAGGAAGGAACCGGCGCAACATCCTGGACAATGAACAATAAGAAATGTATTAGACTGTTTTAAAAAGTATGACAGTAAGAAATCTCTATAAACCAATAGCAACAGTAAGAATAAGAAACGTTTTTGTATGTTACACAGGGCTCTAGAGTGCGACCAATTTGGTCCTAATTTCTCAACGGTGCAACGAAAAAGAATTCTAGGTCGCACCGGTGCGGCTCTATGGAAGCCTGTTTCCGCCACACAAAAAAAAGTAGCCATCGAAATTTCGACTAATTAACCCGAAATTTTGAGTAAATTAACTCGAAAGTTTGACTTACTAACTCATAATTTTGAGAAAAGTAACTACAAAATTTGAGTTGCATTGTCATCAGTAATCTACGTGAATGATGTCATTTCCTTGTTACCCGGAAGCTGAAGTCCTGCAGCTACAAATGCTACAGCTAAGCTACCAGTATTAGAGCCAGTCATGAATGACAAATTGCTGAGTATTTTCAGCGTGGCTTCACAAATGATGAAATCCTTGTGTTATTAGCTGAATCACATGGCGTATATCAGCAAACGACTCTGAAAATGTTACGCCAATTTGTTGCGCATTCCTCTGCGCCATATTCTTCCGGGTAACAAGAAAATGACCTCATTCACGTAGTTCTATGCGAGCTACTCGAAATCATTACGCTGAGATACTACATTTCGAAAGAGAAGCAAGCTAGATGCAGTTTATGTCTGTTAAATTTCGCCACTGTACTATCCAATTATAGACTCGGAACCCTGTTACGATCTAATATTAAATGGATCAATACGAGACCTAAGGTAGCGTCCGAATTTCGAGTTTTCGATTTTTATGGCGGCAGGCTGCCGAAGAGTAATGTCAAAAAGCAAAACAAACAAACGATAGCGGGCTCGACGGCTGTCCTCCAGATATTACTGATCCTTCTGCGTGTGTATGTTTTGATAAGCTGCAGTGGTGGATTAAAAAGGAGGTGTGAGAGTTGAATATCGATATGCATGTCCCATGAAATCTACTAATCTACTTTAAAATAAGGGATTTACCAGAAACGCGGCAGAATCTCAGTTGCAAAGTCTCACACAATGTGATTTTAACAACCTCAAACAACTTTAAGAACCAATGATGATTGAGCACGGTTGAACAGCATTCCAAACAAGGAATTGTATATACACAGATGCGTCGACCCGTAACCATCAGTGAGATTCACGTGTACTCACTGAATACGGCATCGCAGTGGTCTGCGAAGAATACCCTGTACAGATCTCACCACACAATATTATGCATGAGGTGCCGAACTACTGTTTTTGTGCGTCTATTCTTGCGCTAGATTCTGATGCTGCAGATTTTTTTAATCTACAACCAAAATTGATTGAACCAGCAGCAAAAGAAGATTTAAAATTAAAAGTTTTAAAAATCTCATTTCCAAGAGAGACCTGGCATCATGGCCACTATCAAGCTTAAGCGATGCGGTTGACAAATTTGGGTGCACCTAACTTTTGTCCTGGTGCACCTAAGAAAAAAAGTTAGGCGCACCAGTGCAACTGTGGCAAAAAGTTAGTCTAGAGCCCTGCTACAAATTTTTTAAAGTGTAAAATGTAATTGTGTATAAAAAATATGTCCTAATTTGCACACCTTTCATTTCAGAAATCTGAACACTGAATAAAACCAGCTCCAAAATTCTATATCAATAAATATATATTCATTTGCTTAAAATGTCAACTAGGCTGTCATATGTGAACCTAAATGTGAAACAGTTTCCTTGCAGTAGTGTTGTGTATTAACATATTAAAGAAGCAAAGTAGTCAAACATGTCAAAATTAATCAAAACATAAAAACAAAGAAGTTTGTTCATTTTGTTGATCACTTCCAGGCAAGGTGTAGTAGAGGTGATGTCGTCTGAATGTTTGTTAAATTTGTGACCAACGCTAAAGTAATGAAAATAGTACTGATGTGAGGATTCTGAGCAATTTACAATGAATCAGTGCTGATACGAAAGGATTCACAAAATTTTCATCCATGTTTTTGGATACAAAAAGGGAAAGCAGAAGCATACTAACTCACCATAACCAGAAACATATAATATTTGGTAGGTTAGGTTAAGTAGGTTAAAGATATCTTTGGCTAGCGTTGTAGTTCCCTTAAAAATTATGACTGCAAACTGCATTTTCATTTCTTCTTCTATGAAGGATAAAATACTTTTTAAAGCCATCTTAAAAATTCTACCTTAATAAGTATGTACTTATGATTATAGAAGCTCAGTAGACAAGCCATTATAATATAAACATATAAATGAGTATTTTATATCATTTCCCTCCAGCAGAATGTGTGAAGGTTCAAAATAACTCAGGACTTCTGCTAAACTTTGCCTAAATATTTTGTGGTACAAGTTTGAACATATACAATGACTGATTAGTGCTGGTGCAAAAAATTTGGCAAGTTGTTCATCCACATTTTCAGAAACAAATAATGAAAGTAACATCACACTAACTCACGTAAACCGGAAGCATAATTTGCTTGGAAAGGAGAGTTCGGTTGTTGTTTCACTCTACGCTGAGGAGCTGCAGAGCTGCTGTGAGAAACTGTCTCTGAGGGTGTGGTGACTCCTGGGACCTTCAGCTCCACTACAGGAGAAGTAGTTGCTTTTGTCCCATCAAGGTCTCCTAAGGGTTGAAATACAGGACAAAACTATTTAGCTGTATACAAAGAAAATAATGCAAAAACAACTTTCTATACATGAAAATCTGAAACTGTTGATTTAATGAGATAATTACGTAACTACATAATTTAACAAGTGGGTATGCAAATTATTAATTCACAAAGATCCAGTGGCACCATTTTCTATAGAACTCAATAGTCAGTAGTTATTGGTTTGGTACATGTTAAACTCCTTGTTATGTAGAGTCTTGATTTTATTTTGAGCAGGGATGAAAGCAGAAAGGAAGCTTACTTTTTAGGGTTGTGTTGGTGGAGTTGGTTTTATTATCAGGGATGTAGACTGCTGGTACACTTGATATCCAGTTTATGTCAGGTGGAGGCTGAATACAAAACTCTCTCAGCAGGGTTTCCTCATCAGAGATGCTCGTGCTTCTTCTCTGCACAAACACTGCAAATGACATCCCCTCAAAACAATGGATCTACACTGAGTGATTATATTTGAAACATGACCTATTATTGGAGGCATAATTTTACACTGAACATTTTCTATTTAAAACACCAAAAGCAAAGCTCTTACCTGGGACAAGATGTGGAGGTAAAAAGAAAGCAATCCACATGATGTTCAGTAGAGCTAAAATAATATGAGTCCACTGCATGTTTCTGTGTGCTGCTATAGTGCACCTGCACATGCACCTGGCACTGTGAGCACAGTAACAGATGGTGTGCAGTAAAGACATGCTGAAGGATGCACAGCAGCCCTCAGATATTTTAAAATAACTTCATCTCTCTCTGCGGGTGTTTGTGGGTTTCTGATTGAGCAATTTCTCATTTAACCACAAAGAACCAACAGCACATGATGTTCAGAGTGTCTGGTCTCCAAAGCACAAAATGTACCATCAGTGCAATTAACCAGAGTGACATTTGGACACAAACACACTCAATTCTTGAACATCACAGTGAGTTCACTGTTCTTAAGCTGCCCGAACTCTCATTTGATCTATTGATACTGTTTAATACATGCTTCCCCCTCCACAATGCGATGCCCTTTATCACAGGTGATAATTTTTTTTCACTCATTGTGTCTTATACAATAAGTGAAAAAGGGCGATCGTGGCTCAAGAGTTGGGAGTTGCGCCTTGTAATTGGAAGGTTGCCGGTTCGAGCCCCGCTGCGACAGTCTCGGTCGTTGTGTCCGTTGGGCAAGACACTTCACTCGTTGCCTACTGGTGGTGGTCAGAGGGCCCGGTGGCACCAGTGTTCTGGCAGCCTCCCTCTGTCAGTGCGCCCCAGGGTGGCTGTGGCTACAATGTAGCTTGCCATCACCAGTGTGTGAATGTGGTGTGATGACTGGATGTGTAAAGCGCTTTGGGGTCCTTAGGGACTAGTAAAGCACTATACAAATACAGGCCATTTATATGAAAAAAGTGTGAT